TACCACATTTCGGTGTGTGACTCAGTTTAGAACACAAAGTCCGACTACAAGTAGAATTCTGGTCAGAAATGCATACGCTGGCATGATAAATGTAAGTTCACCTCTGAACGTAAAATTTCATATGGATTCTGACTTGTACGAGTAGAATATACCGATCTGAACAACAGTTCACACCGCAACATAGACACTAAACCTCTATGTACATATACACACACTGCACGCCGTGAGATATGCATATGAGTATTGAGACACCGTTGGTGATAAGCTTTCCATGTTTCTACTGGCCAAACTCCTGGTTTTCACAATCGACAAAGAGTTTCAATTCAAAACGAGAATCTAAACGTATCCTGTTCCCATTTCTACAACAGCATTCTATAAAATACAATATAAAAATAAAGCTGTCCCTATAGCGTCGAACGTTGATCTTCTAGTCTTGGAAATTCATTGTCCTTGTGTGGCCGGGGTAAGCACGCGCTGATAGGATACCACTTTCTAGCTTAAGAAATCTCCAATTGGAGCCAAAACTACTTCGGAATTGATCGTCAACAAAGTAGGCCCGCACTTATTGTTGAGTTTATTCTGAAGATCACTTTTATTCCAGTGTATGATGTAGTGAGACCTGACTGTAGGGTAAGTCTCCTTCGGCACATGTATTGCCTATGCTATCGCAGAGCCTCCTAAAATTATAGTATGTATGTAGTCGGCAGTATTATTTTTAATATGTACATAAAACAAATACACATATAGATCACTGACTCACTGATCAATCGACAAGATGCTCAAACCTCAGTGTCTACCCGTTCACAGGCTCACGGTGACACAGCCTCAGGCCCTCAGCCCGCTCCTCACATGTGCCTTTGTGTTTTTTGTTACGTTTTAAAAAAACTATTAAACCAAAAGCTGCGTCTTGTAACCATGTGATGTTTAAAACCAGCCAATAATTATTGATTAAGATGCCAAAAAAGGAAATTTCATGTCGGGCGGCACTTTCGAAACAGATGCGCAACTTCCATTGGAATTCTATTTTAACTCTCAATTCTCAACCCCCCTCCCCACTCCCCAGAGTCAGAGTGATCCTCTCGGGGCACGGGCCCACTGTCCCCACTCCCAACAGACCCAGACTCCAGTGTTTTCTTTTGTATATTTAAAAAACAAAAAAAACAAACAGTTGTATATTTTTTTTGATACACTCTGGAATCTGGAGTCTGGGAGATTTTTTTTTCAAATTCGAGAATAGTCTGGCACAAGTTTTTAAAAAGTACGTTTGTGTAATAAATAGATCACGTATATTAAATAAATTCACTTGGTTCAAAATATCTATATTGACAAAATTGAAAATCATCATGCAAGGTGAAACTACGTATGCGGGTCCCTATGGAACTTCTGTTGCTGAAGGTGCAGACTGGATGCAATTCCGGAACCCCAAAGCAAAGGATGGGCTGTTCACAGCCACCTCCGAAGGTATACCCAAAACGATGGCGGGACAATGGAGCGAAGCTGTGCGGAAGTACAAAGACTTGCCGTGCTTTGGTACAAGAGAGTTGGTGGACAGCGAGCAAGTCAAGGACCCCAGTACGGGAAGGATATTTAACAAGAATGAATATGGTGCTTATTGCTGGGCGACATATGAAGAAACAGATGAGCGCGTTCAAGCGTTCGCAAAGGGATTACTGGACTTGGGAGTGCAGCCCAAATTAAATATTTGTATATTTATGTATACAATGGCTGATTGGCAGGTAGCCGCCCATGCCAGTTGGCAAGCCGGAATTGTGGTAGCTACGCTCTATGCAACTCTAGGCGAAGAGGCACTAGCTTTTGGCTTGAAACAGACGATGTCCTCTGTTGTTATAACACAAGGGTCTCTGCTCAGCGAAATATCCACGATAGCGGCATCCTGTCCTGAACTAAAGCACGTTATTTACAATGGAGATAACACGGCAAACATAGAGATCGAAGGAGTTACCCTCCATCGCTTTGAGGATCTTATATCCAGAGGAAAAACAATCGATAGGGCTACACTGCCAGCACCAAGCGAATCTGACATAGCTGTGCTCATGTACACCTCTGGTAGCACAGGTGTACCCAAAGGTGTGATGCTTACGCACAAGAATGTTGTCTCATCTGCATGCGTTGGCTTCCATCACAGCACACCGGATATCCTCGCGGGCGAGGATTCTTTTATCAGTTTTCTGCCCCTCGCTCACATTTTCGCCCTCTGTGCAGAGACATACTTAATCTCCCAGGGGTGTCGAATTGGCTACAGCACTGCGTTGACGCTCACTGATAACTCATCGATGATCAAATCGGGCACGAAGGGCGATATAAGCGAATTGCGACCTACATACATGGTTGCGGTACCCACCATCATTGATCGAATACGCCAGGCTGTAATGCAGAACGCGAAGTCAAGTGGCTGGCTTGGTAGAAAGGTTTGGGATTATGCATTTGAATCTAAAACAAAGGCCTTCACCGATTTCAAGGAGACCCCATTTTTAGATAAGATTGTATTCGATAAAATCAAAGGTATACTGGGAGGCAACGTAAAAATGATCCTTTGTGGAGGTGCACCACTCGCGATTGAGAGCCAGATATTCATGAGTACCGTATTTGGGGTGCCTATCTGCCAGGGATACGGTCTAACTGAAACTTGTGGTGGCGGTACCATAGCCGATATCCACGATAGACAATCCTGGGGCAAAGTTGGGGGACCGATTACTGTCCTTGATCTCAAGCTCAAGAATTGGGAGGAAGGTAATTACCGTGTAACCGACATAATGAAAAAGGACATAGGTATGCCACGAGGTGAAGTGCTTCTAAGTGGAGATTGTGTGGCCCATGGTTACTACAACATGCCTGAGAAGACAGCTGAAGATTTCCGAGTAGACGAGAACGGTAGAACATGGTTCCATACCGGCGATATAGGTCAAATCTGTCACGATGGTACATTGCAAATCATTGACAGAAAGAAAGATCTGGTTAAGCTACAACAGGGTGAATACGTATCCTTGGGCAAGGTTGAAAGCATGTTGGCAAGCGCGAAGTTTATCGATAACCTCATGGTGTATGCAGACCCATTTCATTCCTACTGTGTGGTTCTGGTAACAGTGCAACCTTCCACCGTGTCGGCATGGGCGGCTTCTAATGGCATTGAAAAAGAATGGAGTGAATTATGTAAAGACCCACAGCTTAAAGCAGATGTATTGAAAACTTTACAATACGAAGCTAAGATGGGAAACCTGCAACGATTTGAGACACCCGCGAAGGTTTATATATGTGACGAACCATGGACACCTGAATCAGGTTTGGTCACTGCGAGCATGAAATTACAGCGGAAGAAAATTCTGGACAAATATCAAGAGGACATCGATGCTATGCTACGATGAAGATGAGTGTCTCATAAAGCGCACTTAATTCTTTGAGCATACGCAATTAACAACTGTTGAGTGAGAAAGGTAGTCCCTATTTGTGTACTATAGCGAGTTGTACACGGAATCACCAAGCCGCCACGGCATATGCCAGACATTCAGTATCTGCTGCTGAGTCCCCAGTAAGGATACCAAGCTAGCAGTAGAAAATACACGAATTAAAACATTGAGTAGACAAAACGCTCGCAACCACATTGATTTATTTGAGTTGGCATACCTATGTTACACATTTACTCGCCAGTAATGAGAGCAGAACGAGCGCTACGAGTGATATTTATCGTCGCAGCCAACAGCTTTCAGTCTGAAAGGTGCTCTAATGATTTATGTCTGAATCTAAAGGGAATGTATTGTCCCACCGAGCTATCTGTAATACAATCGGAGATCACATGTTGTAAAGATCAGGTACTGTCTCTTCTTCCGCATTTGATAGCCTAATCCTACACAAAGCACTCGCGCAATTGACAATGTTACACACCGGAAACGCGTGGCGAAAAGTAGTTTAGCACATATGGACGCTTTGGCTAACTTGGTGGCACTGTTGTATGTATGGTTGTATATGATCATTGATCACCCCTTTCATCCTATGATAGTACGCAAACTGCAGAATGTTATCAACCGTTAATCAGTCTTCTTCTTCGTCATCCCAGACTGTGACGTTGCGTATTCTGAAACGGGGTGCAAAGTATAACCCTACCGCAGTCCCGATAAGTGGTGCTTGTATCAGGAATTTCTGGCCTACAAGTAGGAACAACAAGGGAAGCACGTGTTAACGAAATGTAAGACTTTAACGATATATGTGGACAAAAATATGAGCCACAGTTCAGCAAAACATTCTCCGCTACGTTATGAATGCGACTCTATGTCGGGTGGATGTCCGGTGGTAGCCATTGTCGTCTACAACAGGTGTTCCGCAAGCAGTAAGAGTATGTGTTCTGTCATTCCAATCTACTACAGCTAATGTGCAATAGTCGGCGCCAAAATTAGTTTCACACTCACAAGTGTCGGTATACAATACCATTCAGTAGAAAAACAGATAATCAACTTGTCGAGATTCGTAACTTACTCTGGGGCATAATTCCTTTACTTCCAAGCAGCCCAATGTGAGCGATTGCCGCCAGCACGCAACCCGCCCCTATCATAAAATAAAACAGAGAGAACAAATCAGCAGTCGTAACAATGAAACAGAAATATTCGGTCATTGTGTAGTCAATGTCTAGAATAGAACTGGATCATACGATCGTCCGGGGTTTTTTTTGCAAGATACCATTTCCATCTTACAATAAATTAGAAGAATATTGCTCGTAGCCAGCCTATGGCTGGGTTTAAGGATTGATTCGGGACGGCATATTAAACATATGCGAGGAAGTAGCAACAGACCCCGCAAAAGCTCCCGTGCACACCAAAACACAATCAAAACCGAACACCGGTCTCTAGATTTAAAATCACAGCATTCATAAATGAGGTATATACCTGTATCGCATGTACGAACTCGAAATCATGTCAAGATACCAAGCCAAATGAAAATTCGCAGCGTTCATAAACGAGGTATCCATTTGTATCGCACGCACGAACACGAAATGCTGACTCAGAAATATCCGACATTTAAAGCGCATCACGAGATCATCTACCACGTGTTACAACCAACTGACTTAAACAACAACCACCAACTGACTTAAACAACAGCCACCAACTGACTTAGACAGCAACCACCAACTGACTTAAAACAGCAACCACCAACTAACTTAAACAGCAACCACCAACTGATTTAATAACAATCACCAACTGACTCAAACAGCAACCACCAACTGACTCAATAACAATCACCTACTGACTTAAACAACAACTACAACTGATATAAACAGCAACCACCAACTGATTTAAACAGCAACAACCAACTGACTTAAAAATAATCACCAACTGACTTAAACAGCAACCACCAACTGACTTTAACAACAACCACCAACTGACATAAACAGCAACCACCA